TAGGCGTGCGCATTGCCCATCAGAGCCGCGTTTTGTGTGCTGTGTGTGTGTGTGTGTTACGAACGCCCTACACGCACGATCCTCTCGCCCCAGCGTCACCCGCCAGTGTGCTGTTGTGTGCTGTTGAACACGCGCCGCGTGTTGCATCCACAATGTCTGCTGTGCGCGGCTGCTGGTACGACGGCATCCTCGCGACGAGCGCGGCGGCGGCGCCGACCAGCTACTGCCCCGCCGCCACCACCACCGCTGCTGCTCCGCGCGTCGCCTTTCTGGTCGGCGGCGTGGTGCGCGGCTTCGACCGCGAGCGCATGCGGAAATCCTTCTTGCATCACGTCGTCGAGCCGCTCGCGCCCGATGCCAAGAATCGCGCCTTCTTCTTTGCGCTCAAGCCCCTGAGGAAGACGGTGAAGATGGGAAGGAACGATTTTGCCGAGATCGACACGCAGATGGCCGATCTAAAGTCTGGCATTCAGACGCTCTTCCCGGGTGCCTCTCTGCACGTTAGCTACCTCCCCGTGGATCGGGAGGTCCTCAAGAAGCCACCGGGTCCGCTGATTGCGCCGCCAGACATGACGCTGCACCCGTGCAACTGCTCGTGCTTTGACTTGGTGCGCGAATCCGTCGCCGGCTTCGTGTCGGCGATCCGCCGCTCCTACGTCATGATGGAGGAGCGCGAGAAGGCGCAAGGGTGGAAGTTCGACCTCGTCGTCTTCACGCGGCCCGATCTGCTCTTCTACAAGCCGCTCGCGCCGTGGTGCGACGTTCGCTGGAAGGGCGTCATGAGCGGGAACGAGTTCACGACCGTCGGGCAAGACTTTATGTACGTGCTGCCGCGGCGCGTCGCGACGGCGCTGGATTCGATCTTCATGGGCAACATTGCCACGCGGGCCGGCAGGAATCGCGACCGGGAGAAGCCGGCTTGCTTCTTCGCCGCGACGGAGACGCTGGGGCTCACGCTCTCGCAGCGGATGCTGCCCGGCATCTCCTTCAAAACGTCCGCGCCTGGTCAGGACGCGGCGCTGGTGCGCAAGTTTGAGGAGGGCGACCGCACTTGCCCAGTCCGCCCGACGCACAGCGCGCCGCATCAGGAAATGGTCGGAAGCAGTTCGTGGGATCGCGGGGCCACCCCGTCGGACGCCCAAGCGGCCAGGCGCTTCCGCGGCAAGCAACATGGCCGCCACCTGCACCTCGTGACTGGGCATGGTGGAGGTCGCGCGCGTAGGGAACGCAGGCCTGCTTGAAGCGATATACTAAAACTCACTCTCAAAAGCTTCGCTACCTAATGCCTACAGCACGACCACCACCACGGTGCCCTCGGGCGAATAGACGAGC